TCAAGTTGCATCAGGGGAGGTTTAGATTGGGTATTAGGAAAGATTGCTTCATGGAAAGAATAGTCAAGCATTGGAACAGGCTGCCCAGAGAGGTGGTGGAGTCACCATCCCTGGAAGTGTTCAAAAAAACAGGTAGATGTGGCACTTTGGGACATGGTTTAGTGGACATGGTGGTGTTGGGTTGATGATTGGACTGATGATTTTAGAGATCCTTTCCAAGCTTAATGATTCCTAGTTTTACTTTCACTAAAAAATAATCCAGCCACCAAGCCAGGAAACATGAAATTATTACTCTACATTTAATTGGTTTAGTGGTGGACTTGGTAATGTTAGGTTAATGGTTGGACTGGATGATCTTAAAGGTCTTTTCCAACCTAAATGACTCTATGATTCTATATTACTGATTTCTCCCGGTATCCCCTACCCAACTCTCATCAGAAATACCAAAGCCCAAAATAGCTGGTTTTGGTCTAAAATACCTACTTTCTTTGCCTTCATGTCTTCTTGCCCTGCCCTTAGGATTTATTTATTCATCTGAGTTTTCACTCTCCTTTTGGATCTTTTTTCCCTTTCTGTCTGTCTTTCCTCTCCCCACCCCATATTTCCCATATTTTTTCCTTTCCCCTTTCTAAGAGATAGTTGATGGGAACAGTTAAGCTGAAAGCTCAGGCTCACAGGCAGATGTCTGCTGGGCACTCTCAGGAGCACCAGAGCCTCGGAGGCAGTAAGCAGGTCAAGGCAACAGGTTTTCCCCACTGCAGTAGTTGCTCTGAAGGAGAGCACTTTATGAGTGTCCAGCACAAATTCATACCCTCCTTTAACCACACAGTCAACAACCTCTGTTGCTACACAGCCCCTCCCTAATACTCCTGTCTTCCTTTCTTATCACCCCATTCTCATCCTCTCTTGTTCTTGCTGGCACTATTATCCTCTTCTAGGCACCACTTCATGTCCTTCACACACTGTGCTCATTTCACAAACTCAAACCAGGATGCCTAACCACATTCCTCCTTATGTAGTAAGAAATTGTGGTGAAAGCACACCGGTAAGCCTGTTAAGGAATTAACTGCTACATCTAAGTCTTTTGCAATATCCAGCCTTACCAATTGGCAAATATTTCTGGACTAGAAGACCTCTTTTCATGCAATAGAAATACTTGGGGGGGGCGGGGAAGAAAACCAAAACTGACACTACATACAAGTACCAGGAACAGAGCAGAAAAAGATAAGTAACTGCTTAAAGCAAAAGATGGACTTACCTGCAGGACAGTGTACATGGCATCCTTCCACACACTGCAGAGGGCACTCCAAAGGCTGTGGGTGCTGGCACGTTACAGGACAAGCAGGTCCACAGCTATTATATCGCCATTCACATTGATACTCTAATTCTTGTTTATTCAGGTCCTCACAGCTTTGTGCTACAGAGTGAAAGAATCAGAGGCAAAAAAAAATCAAACCAGAGTGCGTACACCTTGCCTCTCAGAACTATGACCCCAAACTTGGTACAAAGTGGACCACATAAGCATAGAAAAAGAAAGAATTCCATCTTTAAATAAAAATATATTTATTTTAATACATTCAGGGCAGGCCACTTCTTCACACTTAATTTTTTTTTTTCACATAATGAAGCACTTGCTCTAAATCAGAGATATTTGTTTTTGATAAAAACAATTGCAAAAATGATCTTTAAATTTTAATTAAAAAAAACCCAAAATGCACAGAAACAATTTCTTTCTCTACGTTTGTTTGTACCACAGACTATTATGTCCCCTTATTGAGGGAATATTTTTTCCAGATATGGCTCTGAACATAAATGAAAAAGGGAGAGGAAATGTCACCGTGAGCTGCTAGCCCAGTCCCATTAAAGTGAAATTCTCCGGACATCAGTGGGAGCAGAGCTAGATAAGAACAGTCTATCTGAGCCAACAGCTTACTGATTAAAAGCTTGAACATTTTCATGCAATTCTTCCTCATCTGCCCTGTACTTACGGCACAGAGCTGGTGATCTCCAGTGAACAGCAACACCTTTTTGTGCACAGACATGTGCGTAGGCTGCTATAGCATCACAGAAGCAAGCACAGTCCCCAATAGATTCGCAAGCACAAGTGTCATACATGCAAATATCTATGTAGGGCTCAGGATTCACCTACAAAAGAGAAATACAGGGTACAGTACACATATTCCCCTCATCTCCTCCTTCTAGACATGTTTAACCTTCAGATGGTTTGCCTGCTCCATTCGCCAAGAGTTGAGGTGCCACATAAATCAGTGCAGGTCTTTCTGCTGGTGTCAGCAAGGACCAAATCAGGCCATGTTCTCGAAGCTGTTACAGACACTGCAGTTTATTGTTCCTTAATATCCCCCATATGGCATAACTTTATACATTTTTGGGCCCTGTTCCCATACCCTCTTGTGCAGCAGCTTGGGTAGAATGCAGTCTAAATAGCATTGTATTAGCTCAGCTCCCTCTCCCCTCAAATCTCAACCTTGTGCTTGACTTGATGTGCTAGTGTCTGGGCTTTAGAGCAAAATTTCCCTCAAGCAGAAGTTGTTCTATAGCTTTCTACTAGGTGGTACCCTGAATTTTTCCATGAAGCATCAGCTACAGGACAGGGTCAGAGATGAGAACACCAATTAATCAGCCTCCTCCAGGTCCTGTGTGCTGTCAGCACAACCATACTTTTCCCCTCAGCTTTAGTCAGTGTCAGCACAGACCATCAGAATTGAAGAATGTGAAACACATGACACAATACTCACAAGTTTTTTGCATTCTTCAAAGAGATCCCCAGACAAAATGCTGCATGACGTTTCTACCATCACCTGCTTCACTATGTTTCCATTACACAGTGGAGACATCAAGGTCTGTTCCCGGTTGGGCTTAACATTGTAAGAGACAAGCACACATTGTATTAGCCTTGCCTTCAGGACCTCAGGACTCTTCAAATTGAGTAAGAGACTCACTAGCACTAGACATTTTCCATGACAAAAGGGAACTGTCAGGACAAATCCTACCATGGCAGAATGCAGAGTAGAGCAGGTCACCTCCTACATTTTCTCCAGCTTTTACTTGTACGCTGCAGTTTTAACATGGATATTTTGATGACAGAAAGCCCCACTGCACCAAACATCCACCCCGAAAAATGATCACTCTCAGCTCCACAGAGGGCCCACAAGACTCACAAATATTATCAGTCTTCAGCAGACAATAACCATGGCTACTGCTCAGTAGTCTCCCCCTCTCCTGTTTAATTTTTCTAAGAACAAGAAGCACTAGTATTGACACGGCATTTATCATGGAGACAGTCTGCAGGTTCCGTCCTGTGCCTATTACACTGAAACAAGGAGCTGCTCATTCTCAGTCATGCTCTGCGGTCTCACTCCTCATCATTGCAACTTCTTCTGTGCTCCAATCAAGTCATATCTAAGAAGTGACATTCAGCAAGGTAATACTATGGCTATGGCACACTTGCACATAATTTATCCAACTAACCCAAAAGATTTCATGTGATCAAAAATAAATGCTTCATTTTATTTTCTAATAATTTAAATCTTTGAAGAAAAGATCTAAAAAAGGCCTTTTCTTTCCCTCTCTGAAAATTTAGATGAATTTTCAAGAGAAAGTTTTCAGCCTTAAAAGCATCATCTGAATGAAATGCTTCATTTTACAAATGTCAAAATAAGCTGTCTTCAAGTTATTTCCTCTCATTCTTTGATTTGGATATACTTCTGGCCATAATTATTTGTCAGGTCAAGACAAATTTATTATTCAATTTCATTCTTTCAAAACTCTGTATTTGGAAAAGAGGAAGTAGGCTCTCATGTCACATAACTACTAGCCCGTGAAATCACCTAATCTCTGGCACCAGGACATAGTTAATACTCAGATAGCAGGTAACCTCCTCAAAATTCAGAAGCAGTGATAGCATGGCAATAAGATCTTTACATCGCCTCCTGTATCGTGCTTTTTCTGTTCAAGCCTCTCCAATCTGAAAATAGTAACTGAATGCTCTTTAAAAAAGATCCAAGAAGCATACAGAAAGAAATTAATCTGTACATTCACTTGTTCATAAATGGGCAGACTAAGATTTGGGATATAGAAGTTTGGATAGGGAAATACAAAATTTTTATCTGAACTCCCCTTCTCTGAAAATTATAGCTGTTTTTTTTCAGATTAAGCTCTAAAATGAGATTTCCAGTTATACCTGGATTTCAAGCATCTGGGCTGGCAAACTCTATGAACAGCCTTTACCATACAGACTGGCTATTTTAACATCCATCTGTAGCCAGGCAGCGCAGAGGCCTTAAATAAGTTAATTGATCTTTTATCAGATTTCAAGAAATAATGTTATTTGGCAAAAATATGGGGGAAGGAGTTAATTTCTATTTATTTTTATCCATTCAAACCTCTTTGCCCACTCTTGAATAATACTGTAACCCATGTTAATCAGTTTTCACAGTTCATTTGCAATCACCTTTTCAACATCAGCACAGTATGGATTAACTTTCCAAGAATTCCCAAAGTCAACTGGATCTACTTCAAGATGTTCATTGCTGCTGGTCAAGTCATTGTTTTGGATTCCATCAAAATTTCCACACAGACCACACACTTGATCCTTGCAGGGAAAGAAACACAAAATACATAAATCTTACATCTGTAGACTGGCTTAGGGTTTTGCTAAGAAGTCTTTTTAGCCTAGTGTTTTAATGTCACAAGGCTTAAAAACTGAATTATCCCTGGCCTTGCCAAGTTCACTGAAATAGACATAGTCTCTCACAGAGAATGTTTAGCTCCTATACCCATTCTGCTTAGCTGAAATTAGGACCATACTGCCTCCAAGGACTCCAGGAAGCAAGACAACTCTGATCAGTGGTGCCTGTTGGCTCTATGTGGAGCATGGAGTACAACCCCATTTTATTTCTGGAGATGACTGTCCTATTGCCATCACTAGTAAATCTGGCT